AAAATTTAAGTTTTAAAGTTATATGCCAAATTGCCAATGTATATTTATGTCTATACATTATTTATAAAATTTTTAGTTTATTAACATTGTAAACTAATTTCTTAATATCGTGTTCACATTTTAATTTTATATAATTAGAATTTCAAAAAATAAAAAATAAAAATTACACGGTTCCCATTTTTGTCATGTGCAAACATTTTTAAGTATCAACCAAAAACTTCTGTGTATAGAAGTGTTTAATTCATTTTAACTAAAAATATAACTTCTATACATATCTATATAATAATGAATTGTTATTGAAAGTGTTAGATTTTATTACCCAAATTAGGCTGGATTTTATTGAAAAAATATTATTCACTTTATTTTACATTATTTTTTATATTATTTCCATCATTATGGTATTTTTAGGGTTAGTATGCCCCTATAAATACGTGGCTCTTCTATTTAGTTTAGGGGAACATTAATACTGAAGTTGTATTATTCGCTTCTATTGATTGTCAATAAAACGCTCTATTCCTTTGCCAATTTATTTTTTTACTTTTAATCTTGTTCTTATTTGTGCAATCATATACTTTATATTGTGTCAATAACCTCTCCAGCAAGTGGTATCAGAGATACGGTTGAGAGTTTTGTTTGAGATATCTATTGTCGATAGCAACTATAAAGTATGATATTCCGTTTTTGAATCGCAATACAAGATTTTCATTGTGGCAAGTAAAGATAAGAACAATATTGGAGCAGATGGACTTGAATGATGCATTGTTAGGGTTTGATAAGCTGCTTACAACTTGGATAACAAAGGAGAAGCGATGAAAGGATCGGAAGGCTCTTTCGCTAATACATCTTCATATTTCTAACAATATTCTTCAAGACGTATTGAAGGAGAAGACAGTTCCTGCATTATGGTTAAAACTGAAGCAACTATGCATGACAAAGAGTTTGACAAGCAAGTTGCATCTAAAGTAGAAGCTATATTCTCATCACATGGCAGAATAAGGATCTTGTCCTTGACCTTGTTGTCCTCACTGCCCACTTCGTATTCGTCGTTCAGGGACACGATTCTGTATAGTCGTGACACACTCACCATTGATGATGTTTATGGTGCTTTATTCTCAAATGAGAAGATGAAGCATCTCATTGGAGCTGGATTTAGAAATGGGAAAGCTATGGTTACTTATGGTGATCAACGAAGGGATAAGTCGAGGATGAACTTCAGCAATTAGGTCTACTTCTATTACATGAGGAAATGATATATCAAAAAAGATTGCGACAAACTGCAAGGTAGATGTAATTTCGCTGCAAATCATGGGAGGCAATCAAATCATTCGGAAGAGACAAACATTGTTGAGGGTGTTTTGGACGGCGGAGTTGTGATGTTGATTGTATGTGACATGAAATCCAAGGCTGATGAGGAGTGGATTTTGGATTCAGCTTGTTCGTTTCATATGTGTCCCAATAGGGCCTGGTTTGAAACTTATGAAAATGGTGAGGCAATGTGCTGTTGTTATGGGAAACAACAAAATCTTATAAGTTAGCTGAAATAAAAATGGATGAGATAGTAAAAACACTTTACCAGGTTCGATATGTTCCAAACTTAAGGAAGAATCCTATCTCGTTGAGTACCATGAATTCGAATGGGTACACGTTTTTTGATGGAGGTAGAATCTTGAATGTCCAAAAGGGTATCTGAGTTATACTGGAGGGACGAAAGAAGTCTCAATTGTACATCTTGAAAAGGCGCACAGAATTAGTGAAGAAACATCTAGACAAATTCAGTATCGTGATGGATATACAGTTTGGTAAAGTAGGGTTTGGCTCAGAGTCATTGAAGAACACTACTTGGGAGAGTTTGGGTGATATGGGTAAGTCCACTTTGCAACCATTGTTTGCAGTTCCATTGTGTTCATTTGATGGGAAAGGACTCATAGAGAATATTTACAATTTTGTAGATGTTGGTTTTCATGCTTTTCAGGAGCTTGAAGGTGTCATTTCTAGCAAGAGGTCTTCAGTCAAAGCACTCAGTGTAGATTCTGCTACAGGGTGTGCTTCGTCCCTGTTTGGTAAATTTTGAATTCATTGTGGAATTTTGGAAACCCGGAGTTTGGTTCAAGTATCATTTATGGATATTGTGGAAGAGGTAGAGCATTTTTCGTGAGGTGGAGAATTTTGGTTCTAAATGAGAAGATCAATTTATTTCGTTGTAGTCGAATTTACTTTTTTAGGTGAGGAAATTTTGGAGGTTTGTTCATTGTATCGGAATTTAGGTCAATATGAAAATTGTTAGATTTTGTGATCCAAATTAGGTTGGATTTTATAAAAAAATATTATTTTCTTTATTCCACGTTATTTTTTATATTATTTCCATCTTTATGATATTTTAGGGTTTGTATGCCCCAATAAATATGTGGCTCTTCTATTTAGTTTAGGTGAAGTATTATTGTCGAAGTTGTATTATTTCTCTTATTCATAAATGAATGAAACCATAGATTTACAAGAGATCTCTAGAAAAGTATAGATTAAAAAGTTCATATAATAGAAGTTATTCATATAATATTTCCACAGTAAAACAATGGCAATGCCAAAAATCCACTTTTACCATGAAAAAAAAAAGTAATTTAATATAGTTTCAATGGACATTTAACTAGTAAGCAATTTATTGTTATTTTAAATAAAGGATATATTAGTTCCTTCAGTTTTTAGAATAAAGGTTTTAGATAATTATTTGTTTTCGTTATTAAAAAATGCATGCGGTAAATACCATCCAGTTCAATTGCAAAATTTACTTATGCGACTATGATAGATTGCTTTATAAAGATATTCTCAAATCTAATTCACTTCGTATTCTCCATCTAAGTCGACAATTTAATTAAAAAATTGATAAAAATTTAAGTCAAAATTAATAATTAATTTTAATATATTTTATGGGACCAAGATTTTTATCAACTTTTTCAATCACATACTTTATTAATTTTAATCAAAATATACTAAAAAATTTTTTTTTTTTTTTTTTTTTAACAAAATCATATAGGAGCTAAATAATACCGTATAGCGTAACGAACAATAACTATCTTGTAACTATGCTTGACGCATAAATTTGACTTTAAATACCTAAGTTTGTGATTCTTAATCGTATCCTGAAATTCTAAACCAGCATGAAATTAAAATTTCCATTATATTTATATTGCATTAAATGCAAGTTTACAAAATCTTTTATTTTTGCAGATACTATGGAAGCAAATACCATTCGTCACGGTTAAGGATCCTATAAGTTGCAATCTCGAAACATTTTCACGTATTTGACTTTCAGGTTCCAACTTTGGCAAGCAACGAATGTAATTAATTATTATTTGTTTGATTATTGGACTCATTGATAAAGTAATTATTTTTTTATTAATTAAAAAATAAGGGGAAACGAGATCCAACGTTTATTTCCGCGAATTATTCCTTCGCCTACTTACCTTTTAATTAGCTCTAATTAAAATAACGTGCTTAGCGATATTATATATGATGCTAATTACGTATTTTTAAATGTTCTTGAATAAGTTGGCATCGAATTTTCAAGCTTAAAATAGAAGAAAATAAGAAAATGTGCATAATAAAGAAGAGCTTGAACTAGAAGGCAGGCACAAGTTGACATTACAAGGTGGAAAAGTTACATAAACAAGGCAAAATCTTAACATAAATTATGAGCTTGTTATATTTTGAGTAGACAAGAAGAAGAAAAATTTTATTTGATACATGGTTTTGTACTACTTAAGACTCGAAAGATTGGGCAATATGTTTTTTAAATATTTTTTCTTTAACCTCGAGGACAATGTAAAATATCATGTTACAATATTGACGAGCTATTAATACATGATACTTATGTACGTAGGATTGGACTCTACACACTACTTGTTTGATGTTGTTTTTAAATACCTATAAGCTATGAATTCCACGAAAGATATGAATAAATTATGAATAATAAGTTTTCATTCTTTTTAAATATGTGGATAAAAAGTAGATTTGATCAACTTACAATTTATTGTTGTTCAGTTCAAACACGCATGCAATAATAGATTAGATTACTAAACAATAAAATATTAAAAAAAATTATGTAAAAGTCAATAATTAAATTAACCACACATTTAATAAAATTCACAAATTTTTAACCACATATTCCTTTTTTTTTTTTTTTTTTTTATCCAAATCTACTGAAAATCTAACTTTTATTTAAACCAAATAGTGACTTATCTTCTTTTACATCCTGAGGGCCATGCAATTTACCTTACTAAAGAGCTATCAGCATATTAGCAAAGTTCAAGAATGCATGCAAATGAAGTATCTAGCCTTCATTACACAAATTTATAAATCATTCATCAAAGATGAATACTAAGAGAAATAATAATGGATCTCACAAAATAAGTGGGCAATAATTAGTAAAAAATCAGGAATGTGTAATTAAGCCCCGAGTTTTTTAGGGAAATGTGTTTTGGAATAATGATTTTTTGAAAAATATGTGATTAAAAAATATGGAAAAATGGATCTCATAAAATAAGTGGGCAATAATTAGTAAAAAATCAGGAATGTGTAATTAAGCCCCGAGTTTTTTTAGGGAAATGAGTTTTGGAATAGTGATTTTTTGGAAAATATGTTATTAAAAAATATGGAAAAATTTTGGGTTACGTGCAAAGTATTTTATTGCAAAAATGATTGAAAATGAATTTTAGAAATATATATATAAAAAAAAATGGATTTTGTGCAAATCACAGCTATAATTAATGTTTAGCTATGATTGAATTTGTAAGTCATTTATAAATTTGTGGTCAAACGGTTTCATCAGTTACCCTAATGAGTACAGTACAAGGGAATATTTTATATGCATATAATTTACTTGGATCATGAGCCATAAGTTGGCTAAGAATTATCAGAAATCTTCAACTTCAAGAAAGCTTCGAAAAGATCGCAATAAAGTTCTTTCGGCCAGTTCTTTTAGCACACCAATAAGAATAATTCTGATCTACAGCAAAGAATAAGTCGAACTCAAGTAATGAATCCTGCATCATGATTCACTGATTCACAGCCCATCTTCTTCTTCCTCTTCTACCATATTCAGACTGAACTTTTCATGGAAACTAATATGTGGCTTCCAAAAAAACAGCCTTCAAATTTGATTTTCATATTTCTTACACCTTTGGTTCTGATTTCAGTGGTTGCTTGCATAGTATTGCAGGCTCCTGAACTGATTTCTTCTCCTTCGTCGCTTTCATGGAAATCTTTTGGCTTCTTTAAGTCATATTCTTTGATTTCCTTCAAAGTAAACCGTAATAGAATTTTCAATTTAGTTGGACAGGTTGAAACTTCACCTAATGAGGGTTTATTACATCAAAAGCTGGTGGCAAATGAAAGAACTGATAATAATCAGTCTTCTCCATTTGTAAGAATTCTTTGCCCTTCTTGGGCGTTTAATATTTTTATCACCTTAAACTTTTAGATTACGTGGTTTAACAATGCTCTCTTATGTTTAAGTCTCACATCACTCAATTAAAAAATTTGTGACATTTGATGGCAAATGTGTTCACCTTAGGGCTTAACTTTCTACATAACGTGCTTCAATGGTTTGTGTAACCTAAAACGAACACAATTTTCTGGTTTGAAGGAAAAGAAAAGGGAGAAAGTAGTGATCAAGAAGTACAGCAGGGTAGAGAGGCTAGAAGCCATTTTGGCCAAAGCTAGGTCTTCTATTCAAGAAGCTGCTAGAAATAAAAGCTCGATTTCGAACCATCAAGATCCTGACTATGTTCCGCAAGGGGCTGTCTACCGGAATGCCAATGCATTTCATAGGTATTCATTTATTTTTCTTCTTTGCAACCGATGCACATACTAAGCCTTTGATGAAGTAAAATAAATCCAACTTGCAGTTGAGACAACACGACGACGATTGTCTAAATAAATATTTATGTTCCGTCTCTAATAGCTTTTAGTTTTAAAGATGGTACCCATTTATTTATTTAATTCGTCTTTAACATGCCTCTCACATGCATGCAAGATGTATGAATACTTCGATATAGTTTACAAATGCAATTTGGTTTCTTCGGAACCATCTTGAGTTTGTGGAGATGTTATTAACATATGAAAGCGATGCTTTATTTCCCTATCGTGTGAGATTATTTCCATATAATTTGATTGTGTCATTAGTATAATTATTCATTTTTGGGAAGTGTTACATGCACATAATTGCTTACATAATGGTGTCCATAATTATACATGGCATTGGATTCAATATTTAATTCAAATCTCACACTTGCACATCAACAACCGATAATTGACACATCACATTATGGATACCATTATACGCAATAATTATGTACAAATAGAATTTTCCTTCATTTTTTAGCATTTGTAACCCCATAAAATATGATCTTTCTCTTTAAATTTCATAGAGAAAAAACTATACAAATTTATATTCCCTTCAGTCACACAATTTTCATAAATCAAATCTTTTGCTTAACAGGAGCTATCTCGAAATGGAGAAGCTGTTCAAAATATATGTATACGAAGAAGGCGAACCCCCGATATTCCACGATGGCCCATGCAGAAGTATATATTCAACAGAAGGAAGATTAATCAATGAATTGGAAAGGGGAAATTTTTATAGAACGAAAAATCCAGATGAAGCCCTTGTCTATTTTCTTCCTTTCAGTGTGGTAGTAATGGTTAAATATCTGTATGAACCTGGTTCTCATAATATGCATGCTATTGGACGCACTGTTGCTGATTATATAGATACAGTTTCTGGTAAATATCCCTTCTGGAATAGAACTCTTGGAGCTGATCATTTCATGCTCTCTTGCCATGATTGGGTAAGTGAAAATATATAGGATTAATATCTTGTATAAAAGTTACATTCAAGCAAAATTTCTCTTTTAAACTTACTTAAAATTAAAGATATTACTTTTTCGAAGGAGGAGTCTTAGCGCCCGTTTGGTACTCAATAAATTACATTCCATTACATTTTATTTATCTCTCTCCTATTTTCAACTATACAATTTTTTATAAAATAATATTACATGCAAATCGAAAATTTTCCTTCTTTTTCATCCACTCTTTTTTCAAACAAATATTATTCCACCCATTTTCGTTTCTAAAAAATGGGGGCCAAACGAGGGTTTAATCTCAGCGTCAAAATAATTTGTTTGTTTTCAACTTTGACAAATAAAAAATTATTTTAAAACTCTTATTTACTTATGACTAAACTTATTAACCAAAAAAATTGCTTTTATAGAATACCAAGGAACTCAACTAGAAAAAAACCCTAGATATAAATCGAATTTGACCAGTTTTAGTAGATTTTTGTGTTTTTCGTACCCTAGAAAAAACATATTTGTGCATTTGCAACGACCACATGCCTTGAGTCGGTAACTTGTCACGTCCCTCAATCCAGAGCCCTAGCGATGCTAAGATAAGTCGTACTAAGTGCATTACACGAGCTAACGCATAGAACTTTCTCATAAAATTTACCTCTCATTCCCTTTCTAATACTAGTAAGCTCATGTTTGATAAGAATTAAAATCAAATTTTTAGTAAATTTTGATAAGAGTTGATAAAATTTAGTGATGGCAATGAGGTGGCCCACAAACCCCGCCCCACCTTGGGGGGGGGGGGGGGGGGGGGGGGACGAGGCAACTTTTTGCCCCATTTATTTTATTTATTTATTTTTACATTTTCAAAGTTTCGAATTATGTTATTATTAGAGAATAAAATATAAATTTAAAATTAGTTTTTAATGGATGAATTGTTTAGAAATAAAATTATTTTTAATCTTTTATATATATATTTTTTCCTTCACAGGGCGAGTTTGGGACGGGGCACCCTCGCCCCGCAACATGCCCTGCCCTACCAATCCGTTCGGGGCGGATTTTTTTGCCCCATTCAGGACGGAACCCCGTTGGGACAAGTTTTATTGCCATCCATAATAAAATTTGTAATTATAAAGTTGTGGGACACTGGTTAAAATTGGTTATTAACTTTGACTGTGATTGGCTAAAACTCTTTTAAATTGAGAAAATTATTGAAATTCATGACTTGTTAAAATTTCAGGGTCCTCGTTCTACATCTTATGTTCCACAATTATACAACAATTCCATCAGAGTTTTATGCAATGCAAACACTTCTGAAGGATTCAATCCTCTCAAAGATGTGTCTTTACCGGAAATCAATCTCAAGACTGGAGAATTAACCGGCCTTATAGGCGGATCCTCCCCCTCAGAAAGATCAATATTAGCCTTCTTTGCAGGCCATTTACATGGAGACATAAGGTACCTCCTATTACAGCAGTGGAAAGGGAAAGATCAAGATGTACAAGTCTATGAAGAAGTTCCAAAAAATGTTTCTTATGAATCAATGCTTAAAAAGAGCAAGTTTTGTCTTTGTCCGAGTGGGTACGAGGTAGCAAGTCCAAGAGTTGTCGAGGCCATTTACGCAGAATGTGTCCCAGTTTTGATATCTGATGGCTATGTGCCACCAATGAGTGATGTGCTTATTTGGGAGACATTTTCAGTTTTTGTGGAAGTTAAGGATATACCAAATATCAAGAAAATATTGATGGGTATATCTCAGGAACAGTATTTGAGAATGTACGAGAGGGTGAAGCAGGTACAAAGGCATTTTGTTATAAATGGACCTCCTAAAAGATTTGATCTTTTTCATATGATGATTCATTCCATCTGGCTAAGAAGATTGAACATGAGAATTCATGATTGAGGATATCCGGAGCACATTCGGCAATCCCTCGAATAAACATGATTAAGGAAAAGAGATGTGTCATCGGATATTTGTCTACTATCTTGTGCACTCCACTACATGCTTTGAAAATTCGAAGTTTAACGGAAGAATTTCGTCGTATTTTGGTTTTCTCTTCTTTTACTCTTTAGGTAACTAACAAGTGCTGAATTTTACTCAATGTCAAGAGAAATTTCTGTAATTTTTGAAAGCACAAGTCTTTGTAACTTTAATTTGAAAAAGTCTAGTTAATGCAATTGTAAAATAATTTCTAAATAAATCTATTTGCCAGAATTAGAGCATCTTTAATCGTAGTGAAATAAATCTAAATTGAAATTTAAATTTTCAAAGTGGTTGAAAATCTGAGAAATGCAGAGAAAATACAAATTGCATTTTTTTAGCAGAAAACTTTACATCCACAAGAGCAAAAAAGTGAATAACTTTTCATTGGAGTAAAATTTAAATTCAGATCCACCGAAATGTAAATGAAGATGCAAAAGTGGTCTTGACGATACTAAAATATACCCAATTTTACACTACCATTAAAAATGCTCCTATTGGTAGCATAGTTTCTAAAAGAGTTATATGACTTCGAGAAATATACTGTTGCAGCCCCAAACTTTTTCAATTAAAGCATGTGAGCCCCAATCAATTAAGTTTGAGGACAACAACTGCAAATTTCTACCCCTTTAAAAAATTAAAAATAAAAATTATATGGTTGAATATGCTCCCTGAAGAGTCCTAACAAATAGAAGTTTTACATAAGGTATATTAATTGAATGCAAATGAGTATGTAAACGTTTCTTCAATTATTTATCATCAATATATTTTCTTGTATAATGACAATGGGAAGAGTCAAGAGATCTAATTATGTTACACAAGCTAATGTACGCGATTTCATCAGATGGAACTAGTGCAGGACATTAGAGGCAGTTCAACATGACATAGCAGATACGCTGTCAATTTATGAAAAATAAATTAGGTGAATGGACATTTTAAAAATAAAATAATAAATGCCTCCCTCTAAATTAAAATTTTAGATGAGACGATTTTACAAAATAAACTAAGTAAAATTAAAATTGGGATTTATAAATGATAAATTAAGAGCCAGACTTAAAAAATCGTTGTTGTTGTTGTTGTTGATGTCTCTCGATTTCTTTAAAAGTGGTAATCCTTTTACATTTTATGATAGAAAAATGTGAAATCGAAATGTTTAATTAGTTTTCTGGCAGAAAATAGTGAGAGATTATGTGTAGGGCCCTTAAAATGCCAACTTGGTAGGCAACTTATGTAGTTCACAAAGGCAAAGAAATAGTTGATGATACTAAACACGTCTTAATGTCATTAAAATTATATTTGTGCTGCAAGTATGTGTTCATATACGAACGAAGAGTTCATTTTTCAATAATTTTCGTAAATTTAATTGCATAAATCATAATTGATTAAACAAAAAACGTACTTATGCACAAATAAGGTGACATGACATTTAGGATTCAGGTGAATTGCCAACCTTATCACAAAGTGAGAATTACATGAACCCAACTAAGGTTCTCAGAACTAACATGAAACAAATGTAGTGGGATATCTTCCAATTCGATATATAATCATGTGAAAAGTATTGAATAAAATTTATTTTTATTATGCTTAAAAAGAATGTGATTTGTTTGAGAGCTTGAAGTCAGATTGTTCAATTGACCCTAATAATCTCTGATAACAGGGGCAGAGCCAGAAAATAATTTTAGGATGGATTGAAATTTAAAATTTTTTGAATGAACTTACGCCACAAGAAATTGAGTTTTGGAGGTTATTTTCGGGACATTCACGATAAGAAGTAGACGACACTCAATGAAATAAAAAAGTTTAGATTTCTTATATTTAGATATTCCACTAAATTTTTGTGTTTTTTTTACCAAATAGAAAATCGATGCTTACCTTAAAAAATATAAACTAACCGAATCACGATAGAATTAAGCAAAAATAAATGTCCACCAATGAACATTCAAAAAATTACTTAATGAGTACTTTTTTAGTAATTTTGATAACCCATCTTTCCAAACAACCGAAAGTTTTAACAAATATTCTTTTTATTGTTGATATAGATTACTTTATAAGTAAATAAGTTTTAACACATTCTTTTTATTGTCAATATCAAATTTATAGCAAGTTATTTATTTTGATCATAATATCTATTTAGTGGTCAAAGTAAGTATTTTTTTTTTTAATAAATATGAATTAGTAATGAATGAAAACATACGTAATTCAGAAAAATATGTAGTGTCTATAACTATTAGAATAAGTAATTTAATTTTAGTTCTAATTAATACAAATTATCTGTAATAAAATTTACTTAATAATGATAGGTAAATTTTAACCAAACAAGCATTAAACAGAATATCTATTTTGACAATAAAATATTCACATTTCACGATGTCTTTAAAAAAGTAATTAATAATTGTAGTGCCTTTAAAACAATTTGAATAATTGGGCATTGAACTTGTATTGAGATTTAAATTAGAGCTGGACTAATGCTTATATCTGGGCCACAATTCTAAAATCTTTGCTTAGAAAATAATATGGATTGGGAGCATTGCTGGGCTACAACCCAACAATGCCCCCGCTACGTCCGCCTATGCCTGATACCATACTACGACTTGATGTTCAATCTTAAAATATCAATTTTATTAAGAAGAATAGTTCATGTCCTTATATTATATTTTATCTTTATTCGATATGAGGTTTATCCTTAACAGAAAAAAGAAATTTTGTGGAAGAGTACTGAACGTCCATAAGTGAATCAAATTGAATTTGAATGTGCAGGGTTCTTTTGTGCTTCAAACTCAACACATAAAACATTATAGTTGTAACGTTCTACATGTTGGCTATGAATGATTCTTTAGATGTGGCATTACAGTATATTAAAAGAGTCAATTAGGCCTTTGATAACTTTTCAAAACTTATAATATAAAGAAACAAAAAATTTTGTTGATGATATTGGCGATACGCAACCGAAACATTACTAGTGATTACACGCGATATGTTCGTAAGTAGTTATTGACGGAGGTACATCACTAATCCTCGATAATATCAGCGTTTGCCGTCGATAGATGTTGAATAATATCAATAATCATTATTAAGATTTTGGGTTTTATCTTAAAATGTCAACCTTGTTAAAAGGCGTAACCCAAACTCTTATAAATTGGTTTATGTTTTTATCTTTATTTGATGAGAGATTTTATTCCTTTACATGTTCCCCAAGTTGGTGGCTCGTTTGAATAGACCAATCTTGAAATCCGCATGCTCATTTTTGAATTGCTCACTGAAATTTAATGAACTCTAATACCATGTTAAGATTTGAGGTTCATCTTATAATGTCAACCTTATTAAGAGGAATAGTTCAAATCCTTATAAATTAGTCTATATTTTTTTATCTTTATTCGATGTTGTATTATATCCCCTAACATGTCCCTGCAAGTTAGTTGCTATTTTGAGCAACCAATTTTGAAATCCGTGTGCTTATTTTTTGAGTTTTAATCGGATCAAATTGCTCGCTAGAGTTTTATGGACCATGATACCATGTTAAAACTTGGGGCTCCATCTTAAAAGGTGAAACTCTTTATGAGGAATAGTCCAAATTTTTAGAAATTGATCGATATTTTTCATCTTTATTTGATTTGAGATTATATTTCTTAATAATCATTGACCGAATTTCCTTCCGTGATTATTTGCTCAATTAATTTTTCGCCGGTGTCATTGAAAATGTACCTCCCCGTGTTGCTTGAGTCGCCTCTAAATAAATTAAATTCCAAATCCAAACTTATCCAAGGACAATATTGGAAGACTTTGGCTCAGACGTGTAATTTAAGGGCACATGTTGAAGGTGAGGTTGGTTGAAAATATGCAGGCTAAAAATGCATTTATTGAAGTTTATTCAAAGTGTAGGAGCTTTAGCGAAGCGGAATGGAGCTTCCATGACATTGAGGATAATTTTTGAAAGCACAAGTCTTTGTAACTTTAATTTGAAAAAGTCTAGTTAATGCAATTGTAAAATAATTTCTAAATAAATCCATTTGCCAACGTTAGAGCATCTTTAATCGGGGTGTAAAATAAATCTAAATTGTGATTTAAATTTTCAAAGTGACTGAAAATCTTAGAAATGCAAAGAAAATACAAATTGCATTTTTTAGCAGAAAATTTTACATCCACAAGAGGCAAAAAAGTGAATAACTTTTCATTGGCGCAAAACTTAAATTTAGATCCACCAAAATGTAAATGAAGATGCAAAAGTGATTTTGGAGATACTAATTTATACCCAATTTTATACAACCATTGAAAATGCTCCTATTGGTAGCATAGTTGACATTAGAGATACGCCGTCAATTTAGGAAAAATAAATCAGGTGAATGGACATTTTAAAAATAAAATGATAAATGCCTCCCTCTAAATTAAAATTTTAGATGAGACGGTTTTACAAAATAAACTAAATAAAACTAAAATTGGGATTTATAAATGACAAATTAAGAGTCGGACTTAATAAATTGTCGTTGTTGTTGAAGTCTCTCGATTTCTTTAATAGTGGTAATCCTTTTACATTTTATGATAGAAAAATGTGAAATCGAAATGTTTGGTTACGTTTTCTGGCAGAAATAGTGAGAGATTATGTGTAGGGCCCTTAAAATGCCAAAACTTGGTAGGCAACTTATGTAGTTCAAAGGCAAAGAAATAGTTGATGATACTAAACACGTCTTAATGTTATTAAAATTATATTTGTGCTACAAGTATGTGTTCATATACGAACGAAGAGTTCATTTTTTAATAATTTTCGTAAATTTAATTGAATTAATACATGAATAAATCATAATTCATTAAACAAAAACGTACTTATGCACAAAAAGGTGACATGACATTTAGGATTCACGTGAATTGCTAACGTTATCACAAAGTGAGAATTACATGAACCCAACTAAGGTTCCTAGAACTAACATGAAACAAATGTAGTGGGATATCCTCCAATTCGATATATAATAATGTGAAAAGTACTGAATAAAATTTATTTTTATTATGTTTAAAAAGAATGTGATTTGTTTGAGAGCTTGAAGTCAGATTGTTCAATTGACCTTAATAATCTCTGATATCAGGGGTTGAGCCAGAAAATGATGTTAGGATGGATTGAAATTTAAAATTTTTTTAAATGAACTTACGCCACAAGAAATCAAGTTTTGGAGGTTATTTTCGTGACATTCACGATAAAAAGTAAACGACACTCGATGAAATAAAAAAGTTTAGATTTCTTACATTTAGATATTCCACTAAATTTTTGTATTTTTTTTTTTACCAAATAGAAAATCGATGCTTACCTTAAAAAATATAAACTAACCGAATCACGATATAATTAAGCAAAAATAAATGTCCACCAATGAACATTCAAAAAATTACTTAATGAGTACTCTTTTAGTAATTTTGATAACCCGTCTTGCCAAACAACTGAAAGTTTTAACAAATATTCTTTTTATTGTTGATATATATTACTTTATAAATAAATAAGTTTTAACACATTCTTTTTACTGTCAATATCATATCTATAGCAAGTTATTTATTTTGATCATAATATCTATTTAATGGTCAAAATAAGTATTTTTTTTTTTATAAATATGAATTAGTAATGAATGAAAACATACATAATTTAGAAAAATATGTAGTGTCTATAACTATTAGAATAAGTAATTTACTTTTAGTTCTAATCAATACAAATTATCTGTAATAAAATTTACTTAGTAATGATAGGTAAATTATAACCAAACACGCATTAAACAGAATATCTATTTTGACAATAAAATATTCACATTTCACGATGTTTTTAAAAGAGTAATTAATAATTGCAGTGCCTTTAAAACAATTTGAATAATTGGGCATTGAACCTGTATTGAGATTTAAATTAGAGCTGGGCTAATATTTATATCTGGGCCACAATTCTAAAATTTTCACTGAGAAAATAATATGGATTGGGAGCATTGCTGGGCTACAACCCAGCAATGCCCCCCACTACCTCCGCCTATGCCTGATACCATACTACGACTTGATGTTCATTCTTAAAATATCAATTTTATTAAGAAAAATAGTTCATGTCCTTATATTATATTTTATCTTTATTCGATATGAGGTTTATCCTTAGCAGAAAAAAGAAATTTTCTAAAAAGAAATTTTGTGGAAGAGTACTGAACGTCCATAAGTGAGTCAAATTGAATTTGAATGTGCAGGGTTCTTTTGTGCTTCAAACTCAACACATAAAACATTATGGTTGTAACGTTCTACATGTCGGCTATGAATGATTGTTTAGATGTGGCATTGTAGTATATTAAAAGAGTCAATTAGGCCTTTGATAACTTAAAACTTAAAGAAACAATAAATTTTGTTGATGATATTGACGATATGCAACCGAAACATTACCAGTGATTACATGTGATATGTTCGTAAGTAGTTATTGAAGGAGGTACATCACTAATCCTCGATAATATCAGCTTTTGCCGTCGATAGATATTGAATAATATCAATAATCATTATTAAGATTTTGGATTTTATCTTAAAATGTCAACCTTGTTAAAAGGCGTAACCCAAACTCTTATAAATTGGTCTATGTTTTTATCTTTATTCGATGCGAGATTTTATTCCTTTATATGTTCTTCAAGATGGTGCCTCGTTTGAATAGACCAATCTTGAAATTCACATGCTTATTTTTGAATCGCTCGCTGAAATTTAATGAACTCTAATACCATGTGAAGATTTGGAGTTTATTTTATAATGTCAACATTATTAAGAGAAGTAATTCAAATCATTATAAATTAGTCTATATATATATATATATTTATCTTTATTCAATGCTGGATTATATCCCTTAACATGCTCCTACAAGTTAGTTGCTATTTTGAACAATTAATCTTGAAATTCGTGTGCTCATTTTTTTTGAGTTTTAATCAAATCAAATTGCTCATTAGAGTTTAATGAGCTCTAATACAAGGTTAAAACTTAGGGCTCTATCTTAAAAGATTAAACTTCTTAAGAGGAGTAGTCTAAATTCTTATAAAGTGGTCTATATTTTTCATCTTTATTTGATGTGAGATTATATTTCTTAATAATCATTGACCTAATTTCCTTCCGTGATTATTTGCTCAATTAATTTTTGGATCATACTTAGGGTACATAATGTCCATTATGTCCAAGTAGAGCAAGCCTTAATTTTTCGCCGGTGTCATTGAAAGTACCTCCTCGTGTTGCTTGAGTAGCCTCTAAATAAATTAAATTCCAAATCCAAACTTATCCAAGGGCAATATTGGAAGACTTTGGCTCAGACGTGTCATTTAAGGGCACACGTTGAAGGTGAGATTGGTTGAAAATATGCAAGCTAAAAATGCATTTATTGAAGTTTATTCAAAGTGTAGGAGCTTTAGCGAAGCGGAATGGAGCTTCCATGAGATTGAGGAAAATAATATAATGTCATGGGACAAAATGATTGGTGGATCAATTTATAATAGTCGTGATAAGAAATTACTTCACATTTTTTAACGAGTTAGTGAAAATGGATCAAGTGCCAAACGAGTTCACTTTTTAGAAGGGTTAAATTTGTACGATATTGTTATTACTTTACATTAAAGAAATGTTAATTGAGCCTTTGACACATAAAAATATATTTCGTCAGCGATATCGACAACTTACGACTTATGATATGTGATCGAAGCACTATCGTGAAATCCGTCATCATAACTAGCAACATTTCCATCAGAAGACTTCAGATCATATATCGGACTTGGTACCCTCCCATTCCTATACTTTCATCCCGGCATATACATGTTTGGGTGTGCTTAAAAGCACATTTTTTGGCAACTTGTAAGCCGATGCTTTTATGAACTTTTACTCTTCTAAGGTACTTTTAATGTCCTCCCAATTTTTCAAAAGATTCCTCACAAGTACCATCAACTTTATCACAAATGAGTTCAATTGACTTATTTATACTTCCACCTCCTTTAGATGGACGCTAAGATATGTTTGATCTTACAATTCGAATTATGCAGCCGGACTATTCTACATAGACTATCTTCTGATTTTTCGAGATAATCTTGAAATTGTTAAAATATGCTCCACCGTCTAGGAGCCCAACGAAGAGAATTTTGTATCGGAAGACACGGATGACGAATTAGATAAAGAAGAAGATATTGAATTGGAATCTAATAAAGAGTTAGATATGATTTAAGTTCATATACTATTTATTTACTATTTCGTATTTAAATTTGAAACTTATTTTTTTGTTGGAAACTTTGAAAAAAATGTATAAAGTTCCTATAAATCTATTTTAAATGTTTAGTAAGTATTATTTTTAATTATTAAATAAATTTTTGATTTATTAAAAATTAAAATAAGAAAATGTCTTTTTACGCCTAAACCTCACCGAAGCTTGCGTAGCTCATAGTTTGGCTTACAAGCATCGCCACACATTACGCCCTTTAGAATACTGCTTAGGACATGAAAAATAAGAGAATTAAAAATATCGTCTGCACTTCATACTCACCTTCTCAATGTGAATTAAATTTATCTCGGCACTCTCCGCCAAAATAACATATAACTCCTATGGTGTGCTTATCTTGGGTACCAAAACATTTGTTGTAAAAAAAAAAAGGTGTATATCACTATAATATTTTCCCGATGCCTTTTCTGCCCTTGATTCCGACTTGGTGAACTCAGGTTAATTTGACCTTAGTCGAGCTTAAGCGAGCCTTTACTACAACATTGAATGGTTTCCATACATAAACTTCTTGACTTAGCTCACGAGGTGTAGCTGCTGCCTCTTATGAAGTCGTGCCTATTGTTAATGTTTGGGTTGGTTCACCATTTCTTGGGGCTTTATTAAACTTGAAATGATTGAAGCCCCAAATATGTGTAAAACCGTGTTTTTTGAAGATTACGTTTTATGCCTCTTATGGGTTGGACTGTGCCGTACACGTGACACAGCCCCAACCCTTGGATAAACTGGTTCATATAGATAGATATTTACTTGGCTCTTGGTCTTCAGAAGCGGCTGCATGGTTTTTCAGTTTCTAGAATTCTCTTTTCTCTCTCTTTGCTTGAGGGTTTCTTCTTCATGTTCCTTTCTCTCTGTATATTGTAACCTTGAATCTTAGTGTTGTAATCTCTTATTTGGTAGAAAAGGAAGGTTTGAGTGATCTTTGTGAGATCTCTGAGAGAATATTGTGTGAAAAAAGAGGCTAGAATAAGCTCGAAGAAATCTCTGATTTCTTCGAACATTTTGTACTGGTTTCTTTGTGAAAATTAGTGGAATCGAGCATAACTCTTGATTGAGGCTCAACGGGTGACTAGGTCGCAAAATTGAATATCCGGGCTCCATTTTGGGGCAAAAACATATGTGGTGTTTCTCGATTTATGTTTTCTGCAATTTATTTTCTGTAACAAATTTTCAAATTACAAAATAATGTAACTCTGGGACCAACACCTATTAATCCTTGGTTCGAACTATGACTACAAATTGGCTAAGTATCACCTTTGTCATACTATTTCAAGCTATAATCCAGTCGTTTTCTTCACCTTTCTAATGACAATTGCATCTTACATTGCCAATGTATTTTTGCCATGTTTGGTTGGTGGATCTCAAAGTACAGGTGGAATTTTGTGTTAGTGACCATTAATGTTAATTAGACGAGTAGGGTTTTTTCTCATCTTGAGAGATTTCAAAATTACCTTCTCCAGGCCAATTTCCTTTATTAAGTGAATTAATTTTGTCCCACATCTTCTAGCTATTAAAAAGTGCACAAAAAGAACTAGTTATTGTTTTGTGACTGTTACAATTTTTTACATAGTGGAATCTCTGTCTTTTACTGCTCATGATTTTTCCCTAGTTTTAAAAATTTCATGTAAATTCTTATGTTCTTGTTCATGTTATTGTCTTTTTTTTTTCTTCGTTCTTCTTAATGTTTTCTTTTCAGAGACTTATGAAGACGAATCAATAATTAATCTAGATTCCCAACAAAAGAATTTGGTTTCAAGTTAGGAAAAACTTTTTAGATCAAACAAAGTAAATATGTCTCATAAAAAATTAGATTGAAAACTGAATCCATATATTAACAAGAAAAAAAATATATAGTCCACTTCCACTAGTCTGTAAAATAGAGGTGTGTACATAAAGTAGGAATTTGTTGTACACCGGGGTTGACACTCTGGTGTACACTCTCCTTACAAGAGAGGCGCACACTCCCAATAAAAAAAAGTGTGGAGCTCTCTCTTGTGAGGAAAGTGTACACCATAGTCTCAACCCCGATGTATATATAGCAAAACTTTATAATGTATCCATTAACTAGAACTTGATGAGATGGTCAAGTCCAGGTTGATATGAGTGTGGCTACTAGAGTGAAAAATGGGGAGGTCTAAACTATTACTTGAGGCAGTAAATTCAGAGATTAAATGATTTTCTAAATGCCAAAAGTTTCTTTCATTTTTGCATACACCAAACTCTTCTTTTGTCATGTCTCTAGTTGAGCTTCCTTTGATTGTATCCTGCAAGCATATACTCCTTATCATGAACTTTTTCATAAGTTTCCATTAAAGTTAGCATATATGTATGCATATTAACATAATAACATATAGAGAATTTGGCGTCTATAATTCTTATTTTATACTCGAAACAACTCTCCATTCAATTATTTTGATATTTTGGTCGTCGACCCACCCTTCAAATTTTGACATATTGCCAATTTCGTCCAAAAATCTGTTAACCAGTGGATGATTTATTGTTTCTTTTGAGTATAGAGTAGGAATGCAAGTGATTAATCTTTTGTTTAATTTAAGGTGAGGATGTAATTGTTATTTATATTTAAAAAAATATTTACATCTTTTGAGAGCATATGGCGAGTCATAAGAACCCAAAAGCTATGAAAAATTAAACTCAAATGTCAAGAAAAATTGATCAAAAATTAGAGTACTCGTTTTGAATATAAAACAGAGAGATGCTGGCCGTACAGGCTCCTCACACATGTATGGGGTGGGTGATTTTTTTTTTTCATTTTTGAATAATCACCCCTCCTCCCGGCCCAACCACCTTCCCATGTGAGTGGCCAAACAAGGCCTGTACAGCCAGCAAAATTCTATAAAACATGAAGTGTAGTTGAAAACTTCTCTGTCCCGCAATTTTCTCCCCTTCCTTTCACCCCATCACACTTAGCCTATGTTTGAACCCCATTTTTTCTTGAAATGAGTTTTGTAATAGTGAATTTTGGGAGAATTGTAGTTAAAAAGTAGGAAAATATTTAAAGTTTTCCTGTAAAAATTTTCATTGTGAAAATTTGTGATTGAAAACAAGTTTATAGAAAAATGAATTTTAAATAATGGAGATCAAACAGAGGTTGGATGTGCATGTAGGCACACTCATGCTCCTTTGCTATTCGCTTATAGTGCATGTTCAATCTCCAGTATTAAATGTACTCAAGATTCAAGAACATTTTAATTTTTTTTTATTAATATTATTTATTCGAACTCATCAACATGCCAATTTAAGACAAATATGGGGAGTTACCTCGTAATCATGGTGAAATGAATCGTTTTTGTCTTTGGAGCTCTTAGAATGCTCATGATTGGCAAGTGATTGCACCTTTTTGTTAAGTGGCCGTTCTCTCAATTCTTTGGAAATGTGTCTGCAAAATTGTTTCTAATGAATTAGAATCCGTAATAGAAATATGCATGCATATTTTCTCGTACAAAATAAGTGTTGACATATTATATAATCTGTTAAACAATCCAAAGAAAATAAAGTGCACAAAAAGAACTAGTTATTGTTTTGTGACTGTTACAATTTTTTACATAGTGGAATCTCTGTCTTTTACTGCTCATGATTTTTTCCTAGTTTTAAAAATTTCATGTAAATTCTTATGTTCTTGTTCATGTTATTGTCTTTTTTTTTTCTTCGTTCTTCTTAATGTTTTCTTTTCAGAGACTTATGAAGACGAATCAATAATTAATCTAGATTCCCAACAAAAGAATTTGGTTTCAAGTTAGGAAAAACTTTTTAGATCAAACAAAGTAAATATGTCTCATAAAAAATTAGATTGAAAACTGAATCCATATATTAACAAGAAAAAAAATATATAGTCCACTTCCACTAGTCTGTAAAATAGAGGTGTGTACATAAAGTAGGAATTTGTTGTACACCGGGGTTGACACTCCGGTGTACACTCTCCTTACAAGAGAGGCGCACACTCCCAATAAAAAAAAGTGTGGAGCTCTCTCTTGTGAGGAAAGTGTACACCATAGTCTCAAACCCGATATATATATAGCAAAACTTTATAATGTATCCATTAACTAGAACTTGATGAGATGGTCAAGTCCAGGTTGATATGAGTGTGGCTACTAGAGTGAAAAATGGGGAGGTCTAAACTATTACTTGAGGCAGTAAATTCAGAGATTAAATGATTATCTAAATGCCAAAAGTTTCTTTCATTTTTGCTTACACCAAACTCTTCTTTTGTCATTTCTCTAGCTGAGCTTCCTTTAGTTGTATCCTGCAAGCATATACTCCTCATCATGAAATTTTATCATAAGTTTCCATTAAAGTTAGCATATATGTATGCATATTAACATAATAACATATAGAGAATTTGGCGCCTATAATTCTTATTTTATACTCGAAACAACTCTGCATTCAATTATTTTGATATTTTGATCGTCGACCCACCCTTCAAGTTTTGACATATTGCCAATTTCGTCCAAAAATCTGTTAACCAGTGGATGATTTATTGTTTCTTTTGAGTATAGAGTAGGAATGCAAGTGATTAATCTTTTGTTTAATTTAAGGTGAGGATGTAATTGTTATTTATGTATAAAAAAATATTTACATCTTTTGAGAGCATATGGCGAGTCGTAATAACCCAAAAGCTATGAAAAATTAAACTCAAATGTCAAGAAAATTGATCAAAAATTAGAGTACTCGTTTTTAATATAAAACAGAGAGATGCTGGCCGTACAGGCTCCTCACACATGTATGGGGTGGGTGAATTTTTTTTTTTTTTCATTTTTGAATAATCACCCCCCCCTCCTCCCGGCCCAACCACCTTCCCATGTGAGTGGCCAAACAAGGCCTGTACAGCCAGCAAAATTCTATAAAACATGAAGTGTAGTTGAAAACTTCTCTGTCCCGCAATTTTCTCCCCTTCCTTTCACCCCATCACACTTAGCCTATGTTTGAACCCCATTTTTTCTTGAAATGAGTTTTGTAATAGTGAATTTTGGGAGAATTGTAGTTAAAAAGTAGGAAAATATTTAAAGTTTTCCTGTAAAAATTTTCATTGTGAAAATTTGTGATTGAAAACAAGTTTATAGAAAAATGAATTTTAAATAATGGAGATCAAACAGAGGTTGGATGTGCATGTAGGCACACTCATGCTCCTTTGCTATTCGCTTATAGTGCATGTTCAATCTCCAGTATTAAATGTACTCAAGATTCAAGAACATTTTAATTTTTTTTTATTAATATTATTTATTCGAACTCATCAACATGCCAATTTAAGACAAATATGGGGAGTTACCTCGTAATCATGGTGAAATGAATCGTTTTTGTCTTTGGAGCTCTTAGAATGCTCATGATTGGCAAGTGATTGCACCTTTTTGTTAAGTGGCCGTTCTCTCAATTCTTTGGAAATGTGTCTGCAAAATTGTTTCTAATGAATTAGAATCCGTAATAGAAATATGCATGCATATTTTCTCGTACAAAATAAGTGTTGACATATTATATAATCTGTTAAACAATCCAAAGAAAATAAAGAAGAAAAAAAGGAGGAGGCTAGGGTTTCATTGATACTACATTAATTAATTGAATGCTAAAAGATGATTTAACCTAAATACAAAGAGAATATATATAGGCTAAACAAAGGAAACTAAAAAGGACTATTCTACCCTTAATAAATAATAAATAATCATATATTTCTTAGCATCTCCCCTCAAACTCACGATGCGGCAGCTACAAGTATCGAGAGTTTGCCAACTAGAAAAAGAAAACGAGAAATAGAATGCGACTTGGTAAAAAAATCTGCAAGCTGCAAAGAAGAAGAAACAAAGGGCAAAGTAATTGTGCCATGCTTGAGATGATGACGAGTAAGATGACAATCGATCTCAATGTGCTTAGTTCGTTCATGAAAAATCGAGTTGTGAGCAATCTGAATAGAACTTTGGTTGTCGCAATACATAGGAGTGGGATGAGAAAGAAAAACTCCCATATCTGCAAGTAACCAACGTAACCAAACAATCTCTTTAGTAGTAGATGCCATAGCACGATATTCTGCTTCGGTGGAAGATTGAGAAACAATAGATTGTTTCTTGCTTTTCCAAGAAATAAGAGAATCACCCAAAAAGATACAGAAACCAATAACAGACTTACGATCTGTGGAATCACTGCCATGATCAGCATCAGAGTATGCACGCAGCTCCAAGGAGGAGGTGGATGGAAGTAACAGATTCTGAAAGATTGTACCCCGAAGATATCGCAAAATGCGAAGAACAGCTGCCCAATGAACTGTAGTGGGAGAAGCAACAAACTGACTAACAATATGAACAGCATATGCAATGTCTGGACGAGTAATAGTGAGATATACCAAGCTCCCCACAATAGTACGGTATAAAGTAGGATCTGACAAACGTAAACCGTCAGAAGAAGAATACTTCGCGTTAACCTCAATTGGAGTATCAACAATCTTATTATCAGTAGGTCTTACCCGCTCAAGAATATCTGCAACATATTTCGACTGAGAAAGAAGATAACCTCTGGGTGAGAAGGCTACCTCAACACCCAAGAAATATCGTAGAGAACCCAAATCTTTCATTTCAAACTGTCTAGCTAACTCTGTCTTCAAAACTAAAATACCATCAATATCATCATCAGTAATAATCATGTCATCAACATATAAAGATAGAATGATACGACCTGCATCAGTGCTCTTAACAAAAAGAGCAGAATCATGATTACTAGAAGTAAATCCAAGGGAAGAGATCACAACAGAAAATTTCTCAAACCAAGTACGAGATGCTTGTTTGAGACCATACAACGCTTTCTTGAGCTTGCAAACTTACCCAGAATCATGTGAAACACCAGGAGGGGGTGCCATATAAACCTCTTCTTGAAGATCTCCATTCAGGAAGGCATTTTTAACATCAAGTTGAGAGATACGCCACTGACGAACCGAAGATACTGCAATAAGAGTACGAATAGTAGTCATTTTTGCAACAGGAGCAAATGTCTCCTCATAATCCATACCATACTGTTGAGAGTATCCCTTTGCAACCAACCTAGCTTTGTATCGCTCAATTGACCCATAAGAATTAGTCTTGATCTTATACACCCAACGACAACCAACAACACTCTTACCAGAAGGTAACGGAACCAAATCCCAAGTACCAGTCTTATGTAAAGCAGAAAGTTCCTCATCCATAACTTGCTGCCAAAGAGAATCAAGAATTGCCTCTTTATAAGAAGAGGGCTCAGAGAGACAATGAATAGAAGCTAAAAAGGTAGAAAATGATGAATAATAACAAGAATAAGCAAAATCTGGTAACTTTGTAGACTTACGAATGCGTATGGATTGACGTAGAGGCGGATCCACAATCTCAGATGGAGCTTAAGGGACCGTAGGAGAAGAGGACGCTTCAGGTGTGCCGGAGAGTAAAGTGTCAGTACTTGCGGAATGACTAGTACGAGTTGGTTGTAAAGACAACGGGGTAGGAACATGAGAATGGACATTTGAAGTAGTAGGCTCCTGAGAAGACAAACTATCAGGATTGTCAGAAAAAGGATCTATACGAATAAGATCAGATCTAATCAGACTATGAGTAGTTGATGGAATAGAAAAGAAAGGTATATGCTCGAGAAAAACAAAATGACGAGACACATAAAGTTTCTGAGTTATTGGATCAAAACAACGATACCCCTTTTTACCTTCACCATAACCAAGAAAGACACAAATTGTAGATCGAGATGACAACTTATTGCGTTCTACATAAGGACGAAGAACAAAACAAGTATAACCAAAAACTCTAAAGAGAGAATAATCAGGGGTATACCCATACAACTTTTCGAAAGGAGAAAACCCTGAATTATGAGAAGATGGAATTGTATTAATCAAACCTACAGCAGTAAGAACAGCTTCACCCCAAAACACACTAGGGACAGATGCAGACAACAAAAGAGAACGAGCAGTTTCAACAATGTACCTATGTTTTCTTTCAGCAACACCATTTTGCTCAAGAGTATCTGTACACGAAGTTTGGTGAATAGTTCCATCTAAAGCAAGCAGCTCACAAAATTTATTAGAAGTGTATTCCCCACCCAAATCACACCTAAAACATTTGATAACAGCAGAATGTTGAGTTTTAACAAGAGCACGAAAGGCTAAGTATATCTCAAAAAATTCAGAACGATGTTTCATTAAATAAACCCAACAATAACGAGTGTGATCATCAATAAAAGAAACATAATATCGAGACCCTCCTTTTGTGGCAACAGGAGAAGGTCCCCATATATCAGAATGAATCAAATCAAACGGAGAAGAAGAAACATAAATACTTCAATTAAAAGGTAAAGTTGAAAATTTTGCCAGTTTGCATGCACTACAATCAGAAATATCACAAGGGTGTAAATTTCCTAAAACCCCTGTAGAAGCTAAAATCTCAAACGAGACGACGAAATATGACCTAGACGAGAGTGCCATAAATAAAAACTAGAAGAAGAAGGACTCAAACGAAACGAAGACAAATCAACACTAGTAGCGGCAGCAGCAACTGGCACTTTTAGCTCATCCAAAATATATAGTCCACCCTTCCTACGGCCTGTCCCAATCAGCTTCTGAGACTGCAGATCC